AATTAAACCAAAGAGCTTTTGCACAGCAAAAGGAACCTTCAGCAGAGTAAAGAGAAAATCTTCACAATCTATACATCTGACAAAGAACTAATATCCAGAATCTACAACTAACTCAAACACATTGGTAAGAATAAAACAATCAAATCAAAAACTGGGCTAAGGACATGAATAGACAATTCTCAAAAGAAGATAAACAAATGGCCAACAAACATTTGGAAAAATGCTCAACATCACTAATTATCAGGGGAATGCAAATCAAAGCCACAATGTGATACCACCTTACTCTTGCAAAAATGGCCATAATCAAAAAATCAAAAAACAGTAGATGTAGGTGTGGATGTAGTGAACAGGGAACACTTCTACACTGCTGGTGGGAATGTAAACTAATATAATCACTGTGGAAAACAATGTAGAGATTTCCTTAAAGAACTAAAAGTAGAACTACCATTTGATTCAGCAATCCCACTACTGGGTATCTACCCCGAGGAAAAGAGGTCATTATTCGAAAAAGATACTTGCACATGCATGTTTATAGCAGCAAAATTCACAATTGCAAAATTGTGGAACCAACCCAGATGCCCATCAATCAACGAGTGGATAAAGAAACTATGGTGTGTGTGTGTGTGTGTGTGTGTATATATGTCTGTATGTGTGTGTATATATGTGTGTATATGTGTATATATATACACATATACATATATACACCAGTTTCATATATGTGCATATATATTTATATATATACACACCTACATATATATATAAATATATATATACATATACATATGATGGAATACTATGCAGCCATAAACAGGAATTAATTAACAGCATTTGCAGTGACCTGGATGAGACTGGAGACTATTACTCTAAGTGAAGTAACTCAGGAATGGAAAACCAAACTCCTGTGTTCTCACTGATATGTGGGAGCTAAGTTATGAGGAAGTAAAGGCATAAGAATGGTACAATGGACTTTGGTGATTTGGGGGAAGAATGGGAAGGGACCAAGGGATAAAACACAACAAATATGGTGCAGTGTATACTGCTCGGGTGAAGGGTGCACCAAAATCTCACAAATCACCACTAAAGAATTGACTCATATAACCAAATACCACCTGTACCCCAATAACTTACGGAAAAATAAAAAAAGTTTAAAAAAAGTAAAAAAAGAAAAACTGAGGATATTATTTAGAGACTTAAATAAATGAGAGAAAACAAATTTCCATAAATTTTCAATTGACAAAAAACAATATATTTTAATAATGATGATGCACATTATCTTTTTGAATACAGATCAACTAATGAGAATTCTTATTCAACATTTTGATTGAGGTTCATCAAGCAAAGATTGATGATAAGATGATGTTTGTCTTATCCAATCAGTTATAAATGTTAATCTGTAAATATAATTCTTAATTCACAGGAAATATGAAAGAAGGGCCAAATTCTGTCCATGAGCTATAGTTTTTTTTGATGCCTACCATATAGAGTCAAGATAAATATAAGAAGATGTATAGAAAATCTAATCCAATTCTTTCATGTTACAGGTTAAAAAATGAGGTCCCAAGTGATGAAATAACTTGCCTATTTTTTTAACCACGAATCTTTAACTTGATATGAAAGAATAAAAATGAAAAAAATGAGATTTTAAGAGACAAGAGAAATGAAAATAAAATAAAATGAAAGATAATAAAATGAAAAAAGGAAAGATTTAGGCAAAGGTCAGGAAATTGAATCAATTTTAAATCACATTTTTGCTGATAAAGAAAAAGAGAATTCAGGAACAGCTGGAAAAGGAAAATCAATACAACTTTGGGCAACATTTATTTAACAGTTATCTGTTGAGTGTATACCATGTGCTAGGGATTTTTCAAGGAGCTGGTGGTGTATCAGGGAACACATGAGAAAGTATGAGTCATCAATTCCAGCAAAAATTGAAATAAAAATTACTTCAACACTTCTATTTATTTTCAGATAATCAGTACTTGGGCATTAATTCAGGATATCTGGCAACATAATTGATTTGATGACATACTTCTTAGGTAAAGAAATCTCAGCCAGGAGCCGGGAACACTCCTGTAATCCCAGCACTTTGGGAGGCCAAGGCGGGCAGATCACGAGGTCAAGAGATCGAGACCATCCTGGCCGATATGGTGAAACCCCATCTCTACTAAAAACACAAAAATTAACTAGGCATGGTGGCGGGTGCCTGTAGTCCTAAATACTTGGGAGGCTGAGGCAAGAGAATTGCTTGAACCCAGGAGGTAGAGGTTGCAGTGAACCAAGATTGCACCATTGTACTCCAGCCTGGGTGACAGAGCAAGACTCCATCTCAAAAATAAAAAAATAAAAATAAAAATAAAAATAAAAAAAAGAAGGAAGAAAAAAAGAAATCCCACTAAAAGATAGCTCTTATGTAAGCTTGTAAGCTATTAGCTATTACATTCTATATTCAGGTTCCCTTATAGTTGGAAGGGTAGTACAAGTTGTACTCAAAGAAAGGTCAATGGATGTGATATTCTGGTAGTACCCAAAAGAGAATAATAAGGTAGTATTTTTCTTAATGGGAATTAGTTCACTGACAATAGGCTAAAGATAAGGAAAACGTAAACAGTCCTTACTCTAGCTACACACTATTACCACAGATAAGTTTTTGGTGCTGAAAACTATATTCAAATATTTTCTCCAACACTTTACAGTGTCAACAAGATTAGAATCTAAATAACTGTAACTAAATAATAGTGATGTAATTAATGCAATGATTTTTTAATACCTAGAACATTATCATTATTTTGCCAAGAAATAAACCAGTGATTCCTTCTCTAATTCAGCAATACAAATATCCCTGCATAAAAGTTTCTACTACCTGGTGAAATTCTGATCTTAAAAGAGAACATTTTATATATATATATATATATATATATATATATATATATATATATATGTTTTTTTGTTGTTGCTTTTTTTTTTTTTTTGAGACAGAGTCTCCCTCTGCCACGGAGGCTGGGGTGCAGTGGAGCGATATTGGCTCACTGAAACTCCGCCTCTCGGGTTCATGCCATTCTCCTGCCTCAGTCCCCCGAGTAGCTGGCACTACAGGCGCCTGCCACCACTCCCGGATATATTTTGTTTTTATTTTTAGTAGAGACGGGGTTTCACCGTTTAGCCAGGATGGTCTCGATCTCCTAACCTCGTGATCCACTGCCTCGGCCTCCCAAAGTGCTGGGATTACAGGCGTGAGCCATCGCGCCTGGCCAGAACATAATTTTTTTGAAAAAAGAAAATAAAAAGAAGAATCTTCATGATAGAAAATTTATTAGTAGAAAGGCATTAAAAGACTTTTCTTCACATGTAAGGTGTTGAAATGAGGGAACTGAAAAGTTTTGCCTCTTTGGGGCTTATTAAGAATAAAAAGAGTTCTATGCTTGGTTAAATAGTGTTATCATCAAAGGGCAAGTAGTAAGAAAGATTATTGTACTTTCACAAAAACAGTAAGATTTTTCTGTAGAGCTGTCTATCCAGACATTTATTGCTTGCCTTGATTAGATGGAACCTTATATCTCTAAATCTATGTTAAAAAAAACTTAAATATTTCAGTTACAGTAACCTAGTCAATTATAAGCCCATGGTACATGTCATATCTGTTAAACTAAATAACATCACCCCATCTCTGACCTCTGCAGCACTACTGCTGGAAACAAAAAAGCCATCCTTCCTTAGAGAAGATTTTTGGGGTAAATAATATTGTTCCTATGGTGTCCAAGAAAGTCCTCATTTTTGCTACTACACAATCTCTGCTTTTCCTGTATCTTCATCGTTCCTAGGATTACTGTAACATTTCCCAAGTTTTCCATATGAACATCAGCTGCACAGCCCTCCTACAAATATGTCTACCATTATCCTCTTAGGCAAAACTAACTCAGCTAGATTTCATGATGGATCTTAGAAACAGGAGTTATTCTGAGTTATGAGTCAGCTTTACTCATCAGCTAACTGAGCTTTGTTACACAAAACTGTCCGTAGTTATGGGATTCTAACTCTTGCCTCAACCAAATTGAAATTTCCTTCATTAGACACATTCTCTGAGGGTATAAAATTGAGTTAGCCAGACACCAGCCCTACCCTGCTGAAACAAAGGTACCTATTCCTGAGATTCTTTTTTTTTTTTTTTTTTTTTTTTGAGACGGAGTCTCGCTCTGTCTCCCAGGCTGGAGTGCAGTGGCGCGATCTCGGCTCACTGCAAGCTCCGCCTCCCGGGTTCACGCCATTCTCCTGCCTCAGCCTCCTGAGTAGCTGGGACTACAGGCGCCCACAACCGCGCCCGGCTAATTTTTTGTATTTTTAGTAGAGACGGGGTTTCACCGTGGTCTCGCTCTCCTGACCTTGTGATCCGCCCGCCTCGGCCTCCCAAAGTGCTGGGATTACACGCGTGAGCCACCGCGCCCGGCCTCCTGAGATTCTTTATGAGATTTTCTTTGAAAAAAGAATCACGCGGCTAAAAGGGGCTCTGTATCTCAGATCTTGTTATTTATCCTTTTGCCGTGCTATGAATAGTGCTTAATTACCCTACAGAGAGAGCAGTGTTAAATTGTATCATTTCAAAAGCATAGTATTGTTAAATGTATGCAAAAACACATCAGACAGGTCAAAATTGGTAGCTGTCATATTTGTAAGGGAAGAAACACATTTTCTGTTAAAGAAGAGTAGATGGCTTAGAGGGATTTTGGTGTGGAAACCAGGATATATGAAGATAACCATAATCCTCATAGCAAAGCTGGCAATAAGGTCACATACACATATTTAGAGAGGGAGCAGAGTAACTCAGGTAAGTAATATGAATGTCTGAGAGTCAAAGCGGAAATAATGAGATTATAAGCATAATTAGAGTCTGTTTCCTTGTTTTGCTAATGTGTTCATCAGTTTGAAATACAAAAATCCCCAATGAATAAGCAGAGACTAAATTCTTTGTATGTAAATAGATATATTTAGAATTTAAAAGTGTGTATTTTCATTAAATGTTGCAAACATTTTTTTTTTTACCTACTCTTGAGTGAAAAACATGCATCTCTGTTCCAGACTTGATCCTCAATAGTACTTCTTTTCCGAGTTTATACGCAGCACTGACTTCTCCATTTAATGCAGTATCCATAATCATATTCAACATCATCACAAAACGTTTTACATATTCCTCTCACTTTTTCGCATCTCTCAAATCTATACTTTGGTTCAAAATAGTTTCTGGCTGCAATCAAGAAAAATATCTGAAGTTATTAGTCTATTATTGATTTGGGGTTTTCTTGCTAAAGAAAGACAAAAACTGTTACAGTTATGAGATCATGTGCGTGCAAGTTGGAGAGAATGGAATATCAAGTTGTTTTGTAGCAGAATTTATGAATCACTTTAGAAAATGACTGAGCTACTAACATTACACTGGCACAAAATGTTTATGCCCTTATCTTGCAACTCACATCCATACTAAACTTCAGCTGGCTCAATCTACAGTAATAATGAGCAAGTGACACACAATTTGGTACTTAATTGTATGTATTTTTGTCAAACATTTGTTGTGATACTTTGTTATTGCAGCCAATTTATAAGCCCTTCTATAATCGTTATAATTTATTTTGATTCTTTATCTCTTTTCTATTTGAACATAGTGGTCACACAAATAGTAATCATAGAGAAACTAGAGAAGACTTCTAATGTACTGACTTCACTGATAGGGCAATTGATTGAGAAAACTAAAAACTAAAGTATTTTAGATATACATAGAGAAACATAATTTTGTTGCACACTGCCTATCTAGTAAAAAGAGGAGCCTCACATTAGTATTCTCTTATAGTTTCTTGTGAACCATCTAAGACAATGAAAAGAAAGATGTTCTGAGATTCCACAATCACAGTTTTCTATTCATACATTAAACTGTAGTAAATAGAGGCAAATTATTTTGCTACTTTAAAGTTTTATTGTTCTTAATGATTCAACTGTTCTCTGAAAATGCCTTTGGAGTAGAAAAGAGACTTTGGAGTCAGGCATATTTTTATTCTTCAATTTTATCAATGTACTTACCTATCTGTGGTCAGTCATTCTACCTATCTGGATGATATAATATAATAAACATAATTATCAGAAATATATCTTGAGTATTAAATTTTGTTATGTGTGCATATATGTGTCAGGAAAAATGAGGCAAAATAATTTTGTTAAAATTTGGAGAATGAATTGAATTGAATTCAGATTTAAATTATGTAATATTATTAATAGAACTTAATTGTCTATATAGAATCTAATTGAAATTTGGAAAAATGTTTCATTTCAACTCAAAATGGTAGGCATTTATTTTAGTACCTAGTATTCACCAAGCATTAGGTTCCGAAATAGAGAAAAACTAGAGAAGATCTCGAAAGCACTTACTTATTGCCCTTAATGAAGCTGGTAGAAAATAATTAAATGTAAGGTGGAAGAGACTGTCAGGTGGATTTTGACATGTAAAAAAGTATTTATATATATACACACACACACATACATATAGACATATATATGACATGTAAATCTATATATGACATGTAAATTATATATTTTTGATATATAAATATATATATATATGTTTTAGTGAATGGTAAACTAATTTATAATGACAGAATCCCTACCACTGGTGAATTTTGGTGAAATCTGAAGTTATTTCAGAGACATATTTGATATCACTTGAAGTCAGAAAGACAATGATGCCTAATTGCTTTTACTTTTTGTAACTGTTGCTAGGATAGAAACTTTTTAAGCCAATCAACATTCCTGAGTCATTATATTTTGTCAACTCTAAAATCACCAAAATCTATGGTGGTTTTTAAGATACATTCAAATTAGAAAAATGCATAGACTTACAGAAATAATAGTAATATTTAAAATGTACTAATTTTGTTCTTTTTTATTTTTTAAAGAACAAGAAAGTTTTGAGTTATGAGGAAATCTATAGAACCATATAAAAACAAAAAGCATGCATTGTAAGATTGGTTCTATTGCTTAGTATTTATTTGCAAATTATGGCTCACTGTAGAATCAAAGGTTTGCCATGTGTAAATTATGAATGAGAATAACATCTCTTTGTATTGTTATGAAAATTGATTATGAAGTATATATAAAAACAATTTTAAGGTGTTGAATGCTATACAATTGTCATCCATAAGTGCATGAGTATCTATGCGAGATGAAACTGGGTGATACACACCATGTAAAAACAAATTGTTTGGAGGAAAGATGGGTAGTATCTCTTTCATTCACTTATACTTCTGCACATTTTGTACATCACTAGAGAAATTGAGCCCATGATAACTATTTTTCATAAAAAAGAGAGAAATTCAAATGCTAGTTTGGGGCCTCAGTCAGGAGAATATATTCCAAAAGGTTTCTGGGAATCTTATCAAGAGTGAGGTACCACAAATAGAGTGGAGATGTGCTGTGGACATCAACACAATCCTGCATGCATGCAGATGGGAACAAATCTGTTAGAAAACTAGAGGTTGAAAGCTCAGTGGTATCCATGACTCAATGTTAGTTTTTCCAAGCGGTATGTAGAGTTTTTCACTCTCCCAAGTGAAGTGTCTGGCATATATCTCTCCATCTCCTCGCAAATAACGTCTCTGAGGGTGACTGCTTCACCTACCTCATGATGCTCCTGGAAATGTCATCCATAAGTGCAGAGTTGAAAGTAGAGGGAGGCAGTGTTGAAAGTAAAAAGAGTTATGTTTTGGAGGATGTTTGCTCTTGCTGGATAGAAGCTGAAGTCAAGGCAGAAGCAAGGCTATGGGATCAGTAGAAAGTTTGAAAAGGTATGATCTTTCAAAATCAGATAGAATTAAGTTTCATGCTTGGATATTTTATTTGTCATTTTGCTATATAGGACAAATGATTTAGATCACTGGATTTCAGTTTCCTCATTACATTGAGGTTTTATTGAAATTTCAAAAGATATAATGAGATAAAACATGCAGGCTGCTCTTAAGGTGTTAAAAAATTAATAAGCCTTCAAAATCAGGTCATTCTCATTCCCTTTGTCTTTATTTGTCTTTTGGATTTCATGCTAAAACCTTATAAAGCCTTACCCTAAGTGGAGCACTGTTACTCACTGTTTATGCCCTGCTATCACACTGTTACTAGTGTTTAATTCCTGCTATGACTTTTTGCTATAGTTTAACCACAAACTTCTGGTCTGAAAGTTACAGTAGGCCAGGGCCACTGTATACCTCATTCACTGATTTATTTCAGCACATAGCAAAATGCTTGAAACAAAATACTCAATAAATACAATAAATAACTGGAAAAAAAGAGTGAGTGAATACATACGTTATTATAGATAGGGACCTAATTCATATTATATAATAAAAAACTTTCTATGCTTTATTACAAATTATTCATCAGTTATTTCCTATCAGCTTAGCAAATGACTTAAGCCCTATATTTGCAGTTTCCTTAACTGAAAAAATGCATTTAATAATACTTCAGAGGGTTGTGTGGCAATCAAATGAGAAAATAGATAAGGAAATATTGTTTGGCCCATAATTTTATGAAGCAAGTTTTCATTGTCATTGTAAATGAATAATTTATAGATTTATAGCAGATTAAAATAAACTTTTCTTAATTTACATATTTTTCTCTACTTTTACTGCTAAATGAAGAGAATGCTTTCTTTGTGATTCATACACACATTTAGTCAGCAAATATGTTGTGTTGGTCCTGTGCTAGGTGGGGACAAAAATAGATAAAACATTTAAGCTCTTCTTCCTCAAAAGACAACTACTATTTGTTGGGAGATGATGACATAGATGAGAAAAAAAATGCATCACTTTTAAAGGCAATTCTGAGATATAAGCAAAATGTCCTTGCATCATAAAAGAAAGAGTTGTAAACTCTTCCTGGAGTAGTCTATTTTGACTATTACTACTTTAACTGCTACTACCACAGCCACTACTAATAGCTAGGTTTTATTAAGTGTTCCCTAGCTTTCAGATTCTTTTCTAAGCCAGTTATATTTATTTTTTGATTTACTCCCCCAATAACATTTCCCATTTCATATATAAGGATAGTTCAATTCAGCTCTGCGTAAGGATTCAGAGGGAGTAGGAGAGCAAGTAGCAAACAAAGCTAGGTTTGTTGGACTCAAAAGCAATATATGTTTCATTGCTTCACTAAGGAGCTGACAGGTGGCTGAATCTTCAAAATATAAAAGCATATTTTCCTGAAATTGTGGAGAAGGTCTTACAAGCAAAAAGATGTATCCTCAACATAGATACTGTGTTTTAAAGAATGTGTGATCTATGCAGAATGGTATGACCTTTTAGCACAATAGAAATCATATGGATGTGAACTTTAGAAAGTCAAGCAGGGCAAAGGTGGCAAAAGGCCCTACCAAGCTAAGGAGTTGAATATTATCATGAATGGAGTGGTAAAACTGATGAGATTTTAAGCACCTTTCCAACTTTTTTTTCTCTTAAGGGAGGAAGTAGAGAAATTTTTGTAGTAGGAAATCTATGTTGAAGTTTATTAAAACAGTCTAAATGAGAAACGATGAATAAGATAATTAAGTTAATGAAAATAAAGAGGAGAAAGTTAAACTAGAAGATATTTCTGAATGAGAAGTAGCCCAATAGATAAGTTTTGGATTTGCGGGGAAAGGAAACTGGAACATAGAGAAGCAATAACCAGAAGTCTTTTAGCTTGTAAGACTGCGTGACTGATTATGAAATGACAATGTTTTGGCCTTTAGGATGTATGTTTGATACTGAAACAGAATAAAAGACATGGAACAGATTTTAGCCCTTGTGAGTAACATGAGTTCATTTTGAACGCATTATGATAAAGAATTTGGAGGCTATCCAGTAGGTTCACGAAGTAGTAATAAATACCGTTTTGTGGTTTAAGACGGAGGTTGAGAAAAAGATTTGATAGGAGAAGTCATTGGCGTTAACAAGACAATACAGAGAAAGCACATAAAAATAAGAGGAAAGGGGATTCAGGGACAAGACATTGAAGGCCATTGACATTTTGAAGGTTATCAAAAATAGATAATTCAATTGATAATTGTCAAAATAGCAGTCAATTCTAGCATGTGTTCATAAGTCCAGCAAGATAAATGATTAAAGTAAACCTTTGAGTTTGCTTTATGAAACATTTATAACATGAGCAAGAGGAGTTTCAGTTAATTGATGTGAGTGAATTATTGGTGGGAAGAGTGTAAATGAGTTACTTAAGTGAAGACTATGGGTCTAAGATTCTTTTCAAGAAATTTGATGAAGAAGAGAATAAGGCAGATTAGAAAGTGGCTTGAAGAAAAATTAAGAAAAAAATATGGGAGGATTTTTGTAAGATGAAAGAGACTGGAGAATATCTGTGTTTACTAATTAGAACCATATAACATTGGAAAAACTTTTAAGAATATTTGATTCACAGAATGGCAAAGTCATATGTGTTCAAATATATAAGAATAAATGAAATCTTCAACAAATAACGGAGAAAAGATGCCAGAAACAGGACAGTTGTGAAGAATACCTACAGCCTACTCAACTTACACACTCCTTGAAAACGCCTTTACAAATTCTCAGCTCTCCTTGCAATTTCAAAACATACTTCCTGTCTTCACTCTCAGCTAATGATCTTGCTCCCTTCAATTCAATGATCCAATTGAAGATTCCTGAGACTCTCCACAGACTTTCAATACCAAATTAATCTACCAATCAGCATCTAACTCTGTGTATTCTGCCCTTCCTGTTTATGAATGAATAAAGCATCCCCATGCTCTAATGAAGAGCTAATCCCTTAATCTCTGCATTAGATGTCATCCTGTCTTGCCAACGCAAAAGATTACTGTCTCCACTCTCATTTTCTGTCTCTTCTCTTAACCACTTGCTAAATCTATTTGATATGACAAACTTTACACGTCCAAAATTGGATCAATTGTCCAACCAAAATTTGTTACACCTAGTATCCTTCTCATTTTAGTCAATGGCACAGCTCAATCTTTCCAATTGCTCAGACAAGAAATCTTGGAGTCATTCTTTACCCCTCTGTCTGCCACAGGCAAAATTTACTCCCTCATGAAATCTAGCTAACTCTACCTTTAACAGATCCAGAATTCTACATCCATTCCTCATTGCTTGTATTATTATGGACTTAGTTAATATAATTTACCACCTATATTATTTACTACTTATATTATTTTAATAACTTCAGAAAGACCTTTAAAAAATTCAAATTATGTCTCTCCCCTTTGAATTGCTCTCAGAATAAAAGTCAAGATCTTTTCTAACTCCTTAAAATCCCTGGGTAATCAATTTGTCAAGATATTTTCTCTCCAACTTCCTCTCCCAGGACTCACCTCCTGAATTACTCTTCTCAGCAATTCTTTTCTCCCAGGTGTTCCCCCACACATTCCAGATGTGCTTTTATGAACACTTCTTTCAGCCTTTACAATAGGGCTCCATGACAAATCATATTTAAAATTACTATAGGCCAGGATTGTGGGTCATTACATTCTACTTTGTTTCCTTTTCTCTAACACTTGTCGCCTTGTAATATAATAGATAATCTGCTTATTTCTTGTATTTACTGTTTATATTTGTATCCACTCACTATACTATGAGCTCCATGAAAACAAAGAACATTGTTAGTTTCGTTTTTTTTGTGTGTCCCAGTCATATTGTACTCTGACACATAGTAGGTGTTCAATAGATGTTTATTGAATTGGTAAATAAATGAGGGAGAATATATTGAATGTAGTCTAACCTATGTATTATCCGTATTACAATTTGACATTGATCTTTTGGAAGAATATTCCATGCCTTATTCATTCGTGAACCCTATCAAGTTGGATATTACTTAAAAATCAGTTTGTAGTCAATCAATATCAGTTCCTTAAGCCAGGAGCTATAATTTTTCAATCTCTAAATCCAAAACCCATGACATTAAACCTGGGAAGAAGTAATCCACTTATGAAAAGTTGCCTGAATAAGTACATTGCTAATTGGAATTAGATTTTGTTCTTGCCCAAGGACATTGAGGTAAAGTAAATACTGAAATAGGTTGGGTTTGAATACATTATATCAGGTAGGAGTCTAATTTCTCTCTTCCTAGTTCGTGTGAGAATTTGATGGTGATAACTCTAATTTCAATATACTGCTTTTAATTGATTCATATGGGTATTGAACTACCAAATAACAGCAAAAATTCCAACACTTGGTGGCAACTCTTTTATCAGAGTCACTGCTCAAGACTCACAAAAAACTAAATGTGAAGGAAAATACAGAGTGTCATGAAAATTTATATTGTGGGCCATAGGAGGGAAAAATACAAAACTCTCAGGTTTTAGAACGAATTAGTTTAACATTATCTAGTTCTTTTGTAAGTTCACACAATAAAAATTACAATGTATCAGCAAGAAAATCACCAGAAATCTTTCCATTTTTAAGCATTTTTTTGCCTTCCTTTTGTTAATAAATTACAAACTTAGACACATGTAAATTCTGGGGGCAGAATAATTAGTAACACCTTTATCTTTTTAAGGAAGCAGGCTGAAGAACTTCATCAAAGGGGTTTCTAGAGTTTTCAGACTTTTTTTTTTGACACGGAAAACACTTAAAAGATTTCCTTAGGAAAAAAAAATTTTGAGGTTGATGCATGTAGGTTCACATTCTCCTTTAAGTTTCTTTCATTTGTTCCTTGAGCTGAAGGCAGAGGCTGATGGCTTAAATGTATTGAACACAAGTAAAGGCTATCTTAGAAATTTAGATGGTTTTCATGCTCTCTGTCAAGCACTGAAAGAGAGTACACCAGTAGTTTTAGCACAGCCTAATTTATGTGCAGATATGCCTCACGCGTTTTTTAAGGAAATCTCTCATCTTCTTGCTGGCTCCTAACAAACTCAACTCTTATTTTCCCCATATTAATAGTATTAGGCCTCTCAGTTCTGCTTTAGAGGTCTTGGTGCAGTGATGGCTCAGTCTCTACTTAGGTAAAATAAATAAAAATCAAACTTCCATAACTTTCATTTTAAGCATTTATTTTTACTAATCTCTTTCTTGACATAGCTAATACATTCATTATCCACTAGTTAGGCCAATTTTTCTTTCTGGAGCCACCAATATATCACCTCTAGTCCATACATAATATATAAAAAATTTAAATAGATAACTATTTCTCATAAAACACAGAAAATGTAATTGGCCACCTGAAAATCTCACTTTTTTTTTATTGTTTCCATTGTCATTTTTAAATTTTTGTGACAGTGGGTACTTGACTTCATAAATCAGTAGTTCTCAGCCAAGTGTAAATTTGTCCCCTCCCCCAAAGAGGATGTTTGGCAATACAGGTAGACAGTTTTGATTATCACAATTGGGAGAAAGTGTGCTATTCGCATCTAGAGGGTAGGAGGTAAGAATGCTGAAAAACATATAATGAGCAGAATAGCTCCCACAACAAAGATTACCTGGACCAAAATATCAACAGTGCCGAGGTTGAGAAACCCTGTTATAAATAAATATTGTAAAGATACTTTTGAAGATATTTACACAAGAAAACACAAAACAATCAAAGACTATGTAAATTTTATCTGAATAGAGAAAAAAAATTTCCCCGTTCATGGCTTGTTGTAGATAACGCTTAGAATGAGCATACTTAGATCTCACATCTACGTTTGAAGAATAGACTGGATCCACAGAGAGACCATAACAAAAATATCAAGAGAGCGGCAAGTCCCTGGAATTTCTTGATTTACCATCTCCTTTTGAGTCTAAGTCTGACCTATATGTATGATTTAATACCTTTCATTTTTCTTTAATTTGCCAAAAGATTATTTAATTTTATTTTGAGGGGTAGGAAGAGAGGATTCTGTTTTATTATTATGTTGTGGTATTGACGATGTTTCTTAAGAGTTTTGAATTAATATGTTTAAATTGTATTCCAGAATTAGCTCTTCTGAAAGGAAAACAAATGGTACAGATGCATCACTGAGCTGTTTTAGGGAGGAATACTGTGGATCCTCAGAGGCAGTAGTAGAGGAACTGAGGCAGAGTGAAATTGAAAAGTGAAGGTTATTGCTGCTTCCTTTTGTCATGTATCTCCCCAGAAATAGTCATTTCTCAGGACTGAATAGCTGCATTAAACTATTAGTCATAGTTTTTGACTTTTTTGATCTAAATTTTCAGTTATTTTCTCCTCTTCTTTCTGAAATTCTTCTCCTTTCTTTTTACTACCTCTCTTATTTCTTGATACACATTTGTCTTTACTAAATAATAAATAAGAGTAGAAATTGAAGCTGGTTGTGATTTTTGTCTTCCATTCTTACACTCGTGATTCTTTCACTTCAGCTCTGTCTCTCTCACAATAAAGATCTGCCCTCTCAATGTCCAGTCTCCCAAGCCCGGTGGATTTATGTATTTACATGGGGGTAATCTGTGGAATAGTATCTAATAAAATAACAGTGCATTTCTACTGGAAGCTTGTATCTTAGACATAAGCTTACCCAATTCTTTGACTTAGGGTTTCCCACAACCTTACTTATGGCAACTAACACAAGGCACATAAAACTTGTGGAACTTGTGGAACATGAAGCACAGAAAACTTGAGGAACTTGCATAAAATAAGTCCCACTACTTCTGGTACCAACAAATCAGGAGAAAAGTGTAATGTAAAGGCACCAGATATGAGCGTGACATATGATCACTTCTGAATGGTTCAACATTAAGTTTTATTTAGTTCTCGTGTATTATAGAGACACACAGGCCTTGAAGGATGTGCTGGGAAAACTTAATAACACTGGTCTTCTCTTCTTCGAGCTTGTGACTCTTTTCTTCTGTCATCGTTACTGCTGCAAGCAGCAATGAGTTCCAGGTCTTATGCAGTAAGCAATCCTAATTTCATTTTCATGACACTGATTTTTACATCGACCATTACCCATTCTGCACTCTCTCCTCAAGTCCAAGCTACCATACTCAGGATATTTCTTTTTGGCTGTAAGAAGGGAAGAATGACTGAAATTAGCCATCTAGCTATGACACATCCATGCTTTAAAAGGAGAAGGTCCATGAAGCAAAAGATTATAGAGTGAACACGTCCACCTACCTATGGAGGAAAGATTAAGTCAATTTACTGTCCCTTGGTGCAAGCTACATTCTAGAAATAAAAAAGGTCTTGGACCTAAGTTAGGTGTTTCCACTTTCTGTCTTATAAGAAACTGGGCAGTGACCCAGGATGGTTCCCAAAATCAATGGAAGAAAAGTGACCATAATTTATCTTTTGGTCAGACTCTGTCTCTACGATCATCTAATTACATTTGAGCAGCCTGTTCTCTGCTCTCACTAACATTATTTAGACTGAATGTTGTGCGTTATGAATTCCTCTTCAAGTGATTTTCACTGTAGCTTGATTTTGCTTCTCTAAAATGTCGAGAGCTAGGCAACGCTGGATAACTTGTCTAAATTCCTGCAACTCCCCTGAATATTTGGGGTTTATTTCCCCGAAGAAATTATGTAACTCAGACGTGTGTCTAATAACAACATTGATAAAGAAAAAAAAAAAAAGTGGAGCCATTGTTGACCATTACATGATTTCTGAAATTACCAGTGTTACCTTTCTCTTCTTTCACCACAAAGTTTCTAAAATAATAACTTACCAAGAATTTATCACAATTACTGTTTGTGCTGTTAAATCTTTTGACTAGCAATCAATAAACTATTGTCAGGGGCCTAAATCCAGCCTGCCACCTGTTTTTGGAAATAATTTTAGTGGCACACAGATGCACCCACTTACACATTGTCTATAACTGTTTTTGCATTAAAATAATGCAGTTGAGATCTTAGGGTTCATAAAACCTTAAGTATTGGTTGTCTCACTTATTTCTAGAAAAAGTTTGTTAACTCCTACTCTGGCTTTATCTTTGCTCATCAATCATGAAAGAATGAGTGAGGGATTTGTAGCTAGAGTCACAAGAAGACATGTCCAGGAGAGCAAAACTGCAACTGAAATTTGCACATTATAAGAAACACAAAATTTGACACAATACAAAAATAACTTTGTAATAGTCAAAGCTGTAAGAAAAGATATATGTTTTGTTTTGTTAACTTAAAGATGGAATCTCACTAGAAGTTTCTTATTTAGAATCGATTGTATTTAGGGGGTTTGGGGGACATTGGTTTGATCGGCTATATGATCTATTCCAATCCAAATATTTTTTATTTTATATTTTAAATTGTACCAAGTCAAAAAATTTATTTTATATTTTAAATTGTACCCTGCCCGATGCATTTTCAGAAGTCATTTGTTTCTCAGTCTTTTTTTTTTTTTTTTTTTGGAGGCACATCAAATTCTTGACCAAAGGATAGATTTAATATTTTCACATATGAAAACAAATAAATTATGCCACTGTTTCCTGCTATTAATTATTGCTTGGTCTTCTCAGAGGCCAGGGCTCTTTGCCTAGGCAGTCTGTCTCCATTTCCAACAGCTGATAAGTGATGGTAAGTAGTAATATCTGTCAGCTAATACATAGACTCAGAGCTACATTATCTATGTCATTGGTATAGTGGCTATAAAACCAAGTCCTGCTATGAATATTGGCTTTCTTCTCAATGTAACTGAAGCAATTCAGAGTATGAAGCAACTTAAAGAAACAAAAACATAGAAGAACATCTAGTTAATCTGCATAATTTAAATATTCACTTCTAAAGATCATTACTTATTCTATATTTTCTGAGGAGTTATGATTATCAAACCCATAAGTGATGGCCAGTGACATACACCTGGATTATACTCACTTTTGACAAGAGTTCTGTCACATTTGGCACTGCTGTCCATGATTCCACCTTGGACTGACCCCACCCCTTCTCTTATTCATTCTTTGTCTTGTTTCACCTTTCTAAAACATTATTGTCTGTTTTCTCCTCATTCTGACCTCTACATATGTTCTCCAGCTTGTGTCCTTGGGTTGCTAATCTCTTTTGCAAGCATTATAGTATCAATTAAATATACTCCCTGTCAACTGGATGCCAAGCTCAAGGGCAGGGCGTCTTATTCTAAGCAATATTGACCTTTTGGATAGGACAATTCTTTGCTCTAAGGGGCTGTTCTGTGCATTGTAGGCTATTTAGCAGCATCCTGGGCTCTATCTACAAGTGGTACTATGCCAGTAGTACAAGTTGTGATGAGCTAAAAGGTCTCTAGACATTGCCTGATGTTCCCTTGAGCACAAACTCACTCCTCTCTGAGAACCACTGATCTAGTGATACTGTGATATTTCAAAAATTATTATTTCTGCCCTCAAATACATTGTTCAAGTCCAATCTTCTGTCTGAAATCTCTGAGCATCACTTTCAGCAAAGTAAAATCTCCCTCCATTTATCTCCCACACCACTTTTTGTTATAATATTATTTTAGATTTACAGAAGAGTTGCAAAGTTGGTAGAAGCCAGCTTCCCCTTATATTATATATTGCATAATCTTGGTAACGTTAATTAAGATTAAGAAATTAATATTGATGTAGTAGTATCTACTAAGTTATGCTCTATTCAAATTTTGCCAGTTTTCATACGTGTTGCTCTTGTCTGTTTTTCACTATTCTCTTTATTATCCATTCTGGAGTCCAATCTAAAATACCACATTACATTTTTGTGAAATGATGTTTTAATCTCTATGTTATTATCATACTTTTATCAAAAAACAACTTACGTCTTCTCAAACTTGTTAGTATAAATCCCCATAAATATTTGCATATTACCTTGTGAAACTGTGACCCAAAAGAGCAGAATAAAGAAAAAAAGTTGAATCTTCATGGTAGAGAGCTTCTTAAAAAAAAGTGTCAACAGACCTTTTTCAAGTCAGCTGTTTTGAAATAAGGAAACAGAGATCCCTTTTATTTATAGATTCTCCGGGGAAGTACTTTTAACTACTGAGGCTTATCAAGAGCAAGAACATTTATATGCTTGGCTGAATAGTGCCACACTCAAAGAACATGAACTCAAAAAGTATTATTAAATTGTTCTCATAAAAGTAAAACCTGCTGTGTAACCTTAACTAGACTTTCATGAAAACACAGTTTTTAAGAGACTTTTATTTATAGGGGATATGTGTTTGGATTGCTAAATGTTATAGTAATCAGCTTCTCTATTCTGTGTTATATGTAATATTAAACATTCTAATGCCTTAGTATAAAACTGTTGAATGCTTGAATCATAAGATTTTACAGAAAAAGTCTTCACTGAGATCAGTTTTGTTTTACTGATAAAACAAGAGAACCAGGGAGATTAAATGACTTTATTTCAATTAATATAAGACACAACTATTTAAATAATCAGTAAATTCAGGATTCACTAAAAATGTGGGAAATATTCTATATAAGTCTATTTATTTATTTATATTTACTTTTTGAGATGGAGTCTGGCTCTGTCACCGAGGCTGGAGTGCAGTGGCACCATCTCAGTTCACTGCAACCTCTGCCTCCCGGGTTCAAGTGATTCTCCTGCCTCAGCCTCCTGAGTAGCTGGGATTATAGGTGCCTGCTACCACGCCTGACTAATTTTTGTATTTTTAGTAGAGACGGAGTTTCACCATGTTGGTCAGGCTGGCCTCGAACCCCTGACCTCATGATCCACCCGCCTCAGATTCCCAAAGTGCTGGGATTACAGGCATGAGCCACTATGCCCGGCCAAGTCTTTGTATGATTTATAAATTTTCTATAGTCATCTGATTTCAAAATTTCAGGTTCAACATTTTAATTCTGTTTATGGAACCGAAAGTTTCATATCGGATCTAAATTGCATGCTTACAAGAGCTGGAAGTTTTGCCCGGTACTCAGAAGCTGATGCTATAAAGAAAAACAATTGGCCAGGTGTGGTGGCTCATGCCTATAATCCCAGCACTTTGGGAGGCCGAGGTGGGTGGATCACCTGAGGTCAGGAGTTCTGGACCAGCCTGGCCAACATGGTGAAAACCCGTCTCTACTAAAAATACAAAAATTAGCCGGGCATTGTGGCAGGCACCTGTAATCCCAGCTACTCAGGGGTTCAAGGTAGGAGACTCGCTTGAATCCGGGAGGCAGAGGTTGCAGTGAGCTGAGATCATGCCATTGCATTCCAGCCTGGGGTACAAGAGCGAGACTTCCTATCAAAAAAAAAAAAAAAAAAACAGGAAGAAATCAATGAATCAATTATTTCCTACCACATAGTTAAGATAATTTTTAGGACAGTGGTTCCTAAACTTTAGCTGCACCAGAATCCTCTAGAAAGCTTGCTAAAATCAGATTGCAAGGTCCCACCCCCAGTATTTCTGATTTAGTAGATCTGGAATGGGGACTAAAATTTGCTTTTCTAACAAGATCATTGAATGCTAATGCTGCTGAAAGGGGCCATATATTAGTCTTGGAAACCTAACTCATTAATTCCATAATATCTAAGAAAAATGTTTCACAGAGTCATAGAATCTTCAGCATACATTAATAAAGAATTTAAAGCTGCTTAGAGTTTCTAATCAAATATACTCATATTACTGATGAGAAAAGTAAAATCAAGATAGATGAACTTATTTACCTAGTAATTGTTATCCTTTGCAACAGATGCTTCATATTATGAAATAAAAATAACAACTTTTGAATTAAATCAAATATGGGGAACTTGACTCATCTGTTTCCTTTCTGGGAAAGTAAAGAAAAATTGAGAGTGCAGCATTAGCTGATAGGAGGAAGACCACTTCAGTATATCACTATGCAACACTTACTCAACAAATACTATTGAGCACTAATTCAGAGTTAAGTTATTGATTTCAAATCTATTTTGAATTGATTTCATCTTGTTGTAGTCAGAAAACATAA